CCACTGGCTCCAGGTCATCTATAAATCACTTCTAGGCAAATCCCCGCCTTTTCTTAGCTCATTGGTCACCATAGCAGCACCCACCCGTAGTATGCGCTCCAGCAGGTATATCTCACTGGTCATCCCCATAGCCAACACCTCCTTTGGCCGCCATTCCTTCCAGTTCTCTGCTGCAAATGACTGGAACGAACTACAAAAATCTCTGAAGCTGGAGTCACTTATCTCCCTCATTAACATTAAGCATCAGGTGTCAGAGCAGCTTACCGATCACTGTACCTGTACACAGCCCATCTGTAATTAGCCCACCAAACTACCTCATCCCCATATTGTTATTTACATTGTTATTTATTTTGCTCATTTGCACCCCAGTATCTCTATTTGCACATCATCTTCTGCACATCTATCACTCCAGTGTTAATACTAAATTGTAATAATTTTGCACTATGGCCTATTTATTGCCTTACCTCCATAACTTACTACATTTGCACACACTGTATATAGACTTTCTATATTCTATTGTGTTATTGACTGTAAATTTTTGTTTGTTCCATATCCTCTGTGTTGTTGTTGGTTTTATCGCACTGCTTTGCTTTATCTTGGCCAGGTCGCAGTTGTAAATGAGAACTTGTTCTCAACTGGCTTACCTGGTTAAATAAAGGTGAAATAAAATAAATAGATAAAAGAATGCCAAGCGTCACAGGAGGAAACCTGGCACCATCCCTACGGTGAAGCATGGTGGTGGCAGCATTGTGATGTGGGGATGTTTTTCAGCGGGAGGGACCGAGAGATTAGTCAGGATTGAGGCATAGATGAACGGAACAAAGTACAGAGATATCCTTGATGAAAACCTGCTCCAGAGCACTCAGGACCTCCGACTGGGGCGAAGGTTCACCTTCTAACATGACAACGACCCTAAGCACACAGCCAAGACAACGCAGGAGTGGCTTCAGGACAAGTCTCTGAATGTCCTTGAGTGGCCCAGCCAGAGCCCGGACTTGAACCCGATCTAACGTCTCTGAAGAGACCTGAAAATAGCTGTGCAGCAATGCTCCCCATCCAACCTGACAGAGCTTGAGAGGATCTGCGGAGAAGAATGGGAGAAACTCCCCAAATACAGGTGTGCCAAGCTTGTAGCATCATACCCAAGAAGACTCAATGCTGTAATCACTGCCAAAGGTGCTTCAACAAAGTACTGAGTATAGGGTCTGAATACTTATGTAAATGTTATATTTCAGATATTTATTTGTAATACATTTGCAAACATTTCTAAAAACCTGTTTTTGCTTCGTCATTATGGGGTATTGTGTGTAGATTGAGGAGGGGAAAAAACAATTTAATCAATTTTAGAATAAGGCTGTAATGTAACAACATTTTGAAAAGGTCAAGGGGTCTGAATACTTTCCGAAGGCACTGTATACATCTATGGAGACTGAGAAGCAAGTTAAGGGGAAACAGTCTCTCAATAACTTCAAAGAACTAGACACACTAGTCCCTTGGGGACTTTCTCCCCTCTGTGTTAAATTGCAGTCACAAGGTTGCTAGTAGGGGAGAAGGGAAATGCCAGAACACACAGTGTACGTCACTGACAACGTATACTTCAGATTGCATTACGCATTGCCTACAATTGGTATCTCATGGTCATTTGTGATCTGCATGGTTGTCTGTACTAATCAATTATCTACAGTGGCTTGCGAAAGTATTCACCCCCCCCCTTGGCATTTTTCCTATTTTGTTGCCTTACAACCTGTAATTAAAATGGATTTTTTGGGGGTTTGTATCATTTGATTTACACAACATGCCTACCACTTTGAAGATGCAAAATATATTTTATTGTGCAACAAACAAGAAATAAGACAAAAAAACAGAACTTGAGCATACATAACTCTTCTCCTCCCCAAAATCAATAAATGCCCTCCTTGCCTGGTCTGTGAGTTTTAGTGGGCGGCCCTCTCTTGGCAGGTTTGTTGTGGTGCCATATTCTTTCAATTTTTTTATAATGGATTTAATGGTGCTCCGTGGGATGTTCAAAGTTTCGGAAATGTTTTTATAACCCAACCCTGATCTGTACTTCTCCACAACTTTGTCCCTGACCTGATTGGAGAGCTCCTTGGTCTTCATGGTGCTGTTTGCTTGGTGGTGCCCCTTGCTTAGTGGTGTTGCAGACTCTGGGGCCTTTCAGAACGTGTATATATACTGAGATCATGTGACAGATCATGTGACACTTAGATTGCACACAGGTGGACTTTATTTAACTAATTATGTGACTTCTGAAGGTAATTGGTTGCACCAGATTTTATTTAGGGGCTTTATAGCAAAGGGGGTGAATACATATGCACACACCACTTTTCCGTTATTAATTTTTTAGAATTTTTTGAAACAAGTTATTTTTTTTCATTTCACTTCACCAATTTGGACTATTTTGTGTATGTCCATTACATGAAATCCAAATAAAACTCCATTTAAGTTACAGGTTGTAATGCAACAAAATAGGAAAAATGCGAAGGGGGGGATGAATACTTATGCAAGGCACTGTAAATTACCTCATTCATGCATTAATATTTTGATCGTAATTGCATACCTACAGAGACGTACATTAGAAATATAAAATAAAATGAAAATTAGATATAAACAATTGGCATGCCCTAATTGAAGCCTTTGACATTAGTAATATAATCCCAGCTAGTGGTACAGATGTAGAATCTTAATTTGATCCACCTTGTTGAAGGATAACTTTCCTGCAATGGTTTACAAATGCTTCTGAAGTTTGTAATTTCCACTTTGAAATTTCAGACTTGATTTTCCCTTACGAAAAATGTATCAACCTCTACAAAAATGTCCATTAATTATAATCCACATAATAATTCACATGTCCTGTTGCTGCAGGATTATTTTCCTGCTGTAGCAAACTGGCTCAAATTAAGATCCTACATCTGTAGGTTATTTGCTGCTTGTCATTATTCACTTCCCTATGTGTATAATGATGTAGCATTAGTTACAAAGACACCGTAGACTCATTTTCAGAGGCTAATGCATGTTCACATACTTTCATTGGAGTCAGAATACTTTCTCAGAGCTTTTAGTCATGCAGAACTAAAGAGAAGTAAAGAAACATAATACTTTAATATGCTTGACAAATAGTGTCTAGCTGGCAACAACCATTGTTATTAACTGTTTTCACCCTGTATGCTGTCCTCCAGCCAAGAGAAAGATCACCCCCATTAGACCCCCAAGCCACAAATGCATTTTCTTACTATGTGAAAAATAGAGAGAATATTTGTAAGTTGTGTATGTAATATCTCAAATAGCTGTTGATGAAAACGTGTGTTTTGGCTTCCTGTCCAAGTAGCTGTGCACTGACAGGCACACACACGGTTTTCTGTCACACACAGTGATGAGTTGCTGTGATAAAGAAGGTGTGAGATAAGTGAGGCTCAGTCAGTCGTCAGCTCTCTCTGAGGTTGACTGTTTTTCTCATCACCAATCACACTTCTGTCACCTCTGGGGATGCAGCAGGCAGTCAGCCACAGTGCCTTGGACAATTATAGCCTCCTCCTTCTCTCTCTCTCTCTCTCTCTCTCTCTCTCTCTCTCTCTGTGTCTCTAACTCTTTCTCTCTTTCCATCTCTCTGTCCACCCTGCATAGGCTACAGTCTCATCTGTAAAGCCTAAGGGCAGATCCTAAACAGTACTGTGAATGCTAGCCCCCCACCCTTTCTCCACCGTATATGCTTTTTCAATGAGGCCCATTGTGCATGGGGGGCTTTTAACATATTTTTGGAGAAGAAAAATGAGGGTCGCCAACATTCTCGTGTGAGAGCTCGAGGGGGTTGGAAACGGGCACTGTTGTATCATCCTTATGTGGTCCCACTGTTACAGTAGCAGGCATTTTGGAATGTGACTTCATCTGGAGGAGAGCTACTGCACTGTCAGTTGAATATAGCTGGTTATTATTTGTTGAAATGTGGGTATGGCGTCTTTGCATTCATGTTCATAACGGAGTGAAGAGGGTAGAAGCCCTGGATTGTTAATGACTTATTTTACTTTCAAGTGTTCAACCCACACTACCATTTCTCTGAAAGCTTTGGTTTGTGTTGTAGAAGGGTGCTTTTATGAGGCAGTTCTGAGAGGTAACAGCTCCGCTCTGCTACAGCTTTGCTAAGCAGGCGCTGCATAGGCAGGTGTGATTTGAACTGGGTGGGTTTTTCTGTCTGTACAGAAAACTACAAGATCAAAGAGTACTGAAGCTAATGGAGTGCAGCACAAAACAAACTTAGTTTTTCTCTCCTACTACTCTTTTTTTCTTTTCAACACGATTGTAATAACGCCTGCAGTTCAGGTCATCACATTTAGTCCATTTGTTTAGTCTACAAATATATATAAAACATGTAAATCGAATTGTAGTTGAATGCATTCAACTGCTTTTACAGTATATTTCATTATCAGTGCGTACCTGAACATTACAGAAAAGGAAGCGGAATTTGTTTACCAATTAGATTAAATGTAATGTTTCTAATGGCTGATCTCTGGGAGTCTACACTACACATACACACACACACACACACACACACACACACACACACAGCCAAGGCTAAGACCTCCTCTTATTTAAACCACTGTGATTTAATCGCCATGGAATTCATACAGACAGACAAAAATACGCTGTGAACCCCAGCTCCACATACTGCAGAGGGAAAAGTGTAGACAACGGGATTCATGATGAATGGGACCCTTGTCTGTGAAAACACTGCTTTCTCTCCACTATCATGCCTTGTACACGTCTGATATATGTATTTTTATAGCTGGAGATGACTGACCCCAAGACAAGTAGTTTATGAGAAGCATGAGAAGAACAGTCAGTCACAGATATGCTGTGTTTACATGAGGCTGATGATGATATGTTCTGTAATACTGATCTGTATTGTACTGAAAACAAGCCTCCTCTCTCTGTGTTCTAACCTTGTTCTTCTCCTCTCTCCCTTCTCCTGGTTCTGCTCTGCAGGCAGCGGCCCCATCCAGCTGTGGCAGTTTCTACTGGAGCTTCTGACGGACAAGTCCTGTCAGTCCTTCATCAGCTGGACGGGAGACGGCTGGGAGTTCAAGCTGTCCGACCCTGACGAGGTGAGAGGTCATGACCCTCCCACCACTGACCTTACATGGCATGGGGGCCCTAAATAGTTAGACAGATGAGCTTGATGTCTTTTTAATGTGATGCCAACAACAGTATCATTTGCCTCACTTAGACTCAGAGGAACCTTAGTGGTATCAGGTACATTTAGCTACATTAAATATTGATCCATGTCAAGAGAAGACATGTACATGATAACATTGTAATGTGAGGTTAGTTCAGAGCTCTGTCTCAAGTTTGATACATGGTATAACAGGGTGCCTTTTCCCTCTATGACTCAGGTGGCTCGGAGGTGGGGGAAGAGGAAAAACAAGCCCAAGATGAACTACGAAAAGCTGAGCCGAGGCCTGCGCTACTACTACGACAAGAACATCATCCACAAGACATCAGGGAAGCGCTACGTCTACCGCTTTGTCTGTGACTTAAAAAGCCTGCTGGGATACACCCCCGAGGAGCTCCACGCCATGTTGGACGTTAAGCCTGATGCGGACGAGTGAAAACAGAGGGATGAGAGAAGAAAAGAAGAAGAGGAGAGTAAAGGAGCCGAGGGGACTGGGGCTCGGAGATTGATATTTACCGTCCGGTAAAAGGGGGCGTCCATTCTTAACACCTAAACTGTGGTCTGTATCATTTTGAGCTGTTGTCAAACAACGTTCAAAAAGGAAGCACGATGCCAAACGTGCAAATTCATAGTATGTTGCATTTGAGATAGTGTGTGTCATAGCTATATGTATATACAGGTATTACTTAGTAGCTCAAGGCACATGGAAAGCTATCAGTTAGAATAGAGTGGCCATTTAGCCTAAGTAGGACAAGAAACTGTCATTGTGGAAGAGGGCCAAGAGACAGTGAAGGATTCATTGTAGGGAAGGACATTGCATGGATGGAGAGTTCCTTCTATGAAATCTGTTGCCAAATTAAAAATGGAAAGTAGTGGAAATAGGTCACTGTTTCTCTGCCACTGCACACAATAGGCATTGGGTAGAGTTCTCTTATTTCTTTTCTCTTTTTTTTTTACTATTGTTTCAGAAGCATAATGTTTGTGACAGTATTATCGTTGAGATTGAACTCCTGGTGTACTGTTGAGTCTCAGTCCGACCAGGGTTCCCCCGTTTAGTTTTTTTTATGTTGATGAAGGTATTCTGAAACCAAAATGTTGTACCATTTAAGGCTAAGTTAGTCCTGTCTCCTCTCTGCGAAAGGCCAATGACTGAAACATGCTGATTTGGTTATCAGACGACACTAGACACTGGCCTTTTTACTCATTTTCATAGGTTGGATGGAGAGTTACTTACTCATACCAAGAGCGGTTGATAGACAACTGAAAGTAACCGTTGCTTTAAAACTGACGCTTTCACCTTCACACATTTGCTGCTTCGCTATAGTCTGCCACCAGGACTTTGCATATTGCATACATTACTGTCCTACCACCAGTAATAAAAGTCCTTAGACACCCTTTATGTGGTGAGTTTTGAAAGTATTTGGACACAAAGAGTCAAACGTGCCCATGCATATTAGCACAATCTCTACATTAAGTGGTTTTTCAAGCCCCCATTTTAGCATTGTTTTAGAAGAGAACAGAGAGGGAGAGACCTGTTGTCGACAGATTGAATTGCGAGCCATGTACACAAGGGATTGTTTTGTCGGAAAGCTTAGGAATGTAGCGTGTACTGTATTTTTGTGTGTTATGTGGTGTTCTCTGAATGAAGGGAAGCTGCCATAGCTAGGTAAGGTATATCAAGGTGCATGATGGTAGTATGGTGAAAAGATAAGGGTTTGAAGCAAGGAGTATAAACTTTGGATGACTGTTTGGAAGACAGGGATGTGAACAGGACTGGGTGGTTTGTGAACAGGACTGGGTGGTTTGTGAACAGGACTGGGTGGTTTTGGGAGGGAACCATGGAGTTGTGAAGCTAATCAGTAAAGAGAATCATCATCATTATGGCATGAGGATGAGATGAATGCTTGTGCTGTTGCACAGCTTGGAGGCTTTTGTTAACTGAAGTGTTTGTATATATGCTCCCTTTCACCATTGTCTGAGGAGGTAGAGATCTATAGGACTACCATAAACAGTTGGGGTAAAGGACTACTGGGAGAGACGTGGCATTATATGCTATTTTCTTACCATGCTTTGTACATGCTTTTCTATTATTTCTAAGACAAAAGGACACCCAATTCAGTATATGGAATGGATCAATGAAATTATATGCCCGGAATACTGTATGTACTTGTGCAGCTTGCTCAAGATCCACAGTAGTTGTGCTGGTTGTCGTCAGTGTGAACATGACTGTACGCAGGCATTATGGGAAAAGCCAAAGTCAAGAAATATCATCTTAAAATACAAATGTTATTGTTTACAGTGGCTGAATGTTACCCATACTGATGAAAATAGGTTTTGAAATGTCTATTTGTACAGATTGTATTTCATAACGCTTTATTAAGACCCAGATTAAACAAATAGGCAAGAGACAAAGCAGGAATAATAACCAAACCCATGTGAGGTCTGGGCGATAGATAGTGCTTTGGGTATGTCCACCATCTTGGAGGACAGGGACCGTTATTCCCTCACATTCAAAGTGTTGTTTCTGCTTTGATCTTTTGATTTGTTGGAAAGCACTCAGTGTTAGGACTCAGCGAAGAGATTTGGCTGGACTGACTGTAGTTCCCCCTTGAGATTATAGGAAAGCGATTTCTGTCCATATTAGTTACTTTTTAGTTGGGCAACTGACCACAGGGTTGGTTCTTCCAGTGTCAGTCAGCACAAACATACACACACACATAATCTTGTGTAAAAAAGATTGAATTCTCTTGAACAAATCAATCCACTCAATCTCTGTGGCGCCGTCCTTTATGCACGCTATATTTCCAGGATTCACATCACTGTTTGATTATTACTGTTCAGATGTTTTTACTCCAAATAATGTTTTTTACGTTAGGACAACTGTTCAGATATTTAAATATATGCCTTCCAGCTCCAAGCCAGTCACAATTTTGAGTAGATCAGAATAGAATATCTTTGTCTGTTTAAATGGAACATATACTGTGTCTGTTTGGACTTCAAAGTAAAGTTTGTTTCAGTAAATGTCATATACGTTAAGTTGTAGACACAAGTATTGCACAGATCTTTCTAAATGGAGTAAATACATACATACACAGATACCTTACGATATTAGCATATCTCAGACTGATCCATTAGGAAACCTGTTTTGTTATGAATGGTGTTGTTTTTGTATATTTTATAGTGTTTCTGTATTTTTGTTAATGAGATACTTTTTTATGTATTTAGTTCACAAACATTTGAATATTTTTCAATAATTTATATTTTATAAAAGAAAAAGACACAGACAGCTGGTGCTTTCATGGGAAATAAAGGTAGCACAGGAAAAAATGTAGCGATTTTCTTTTGATATAGAGAATAGACCTGTCTGTTAAAGAAAAAGGCTGATGCTGGCCCATCATTGATTTCTGCTGGAAAGTTTTATAAACTGTAGCTTCTATTTCTTAATGTACTTAAAAAATGTTATGTTATAAAAAAGTATATGTGAACAAATATTTCATACTTTTGTGTGTATTGTGTGGTTATTTCTTCTAATATTACCAGAGCAAAAAAGGCTTTTGAAAAATTACTTCTATACTGTAACTTACAGTACATTGAAAATAAGTGAAATAGCTCTTAAAGAAATCAGTCTTACTTGGCTTCCTGGCCTTGACTACATGCCAAAAGAAAGGTTAGTCAGTTAGCTCTTTGTAAACACAATAGAAGTAGATACACATTATCGTCAAAATATATCTGTGTACTCATTTTAATAACCACCTGGGCATATACTGGATGAACACATCTAGGCCTATTCACCTCACACATTGCATATTAATAACTCACATCCAAAACCTGCATGAGAAGTCCGTATCTCACTCAACCATGATAACAGACTGTGTTTACACAGGCAGCCCATTTCTGATCTTTTTCCTACTAATTGGTATTTTGACCAATAAAGTCAGATATTTTCACATCAGATCTTTTTCAGAGCTGATCTGATTGGTCAAAAGACCAGTTAGTGAAACAAAATATCAGAATTGGGCTGCCTGTGTAAAGGCAGCCAAATACAGTACATCTACAATGTGCATATCAACAGTATGTGTTGGTCTCTCAGTCTCAGAGCCCAGTTTGGGCCTGGTGGCAGATCCAGGTCCCCTCTGAAAGGCATGCTGGGATGTCGCTGGCGGGTACCTGGTTAACGAGTCTGTCACTTCCACGGCGATGGGTGACGTCAAAGCACAAACAGGCACACTAGGCCCATTCATGTGTTTATAACCTTAGGGTCCTAGCAATTATACTTTAGATAAAAACAATACAGGCCGTGCCCGCTCCCCAGCCGCTGCCCGACACGGCACAGCTGTCTGGCTCCTCTAGAACAGCACACTGGACAAAAGGCCAAGGACCAGTCCCAATACAGACTAGTGTCTTCATCCCACAGTCACAGAATGGTCTGTACCAAACTAAGCTTTATCAGTTATTGGCATAAAGATGAAATATTTTATATTCCTTTACTGGGATGATACTGTATAATGGCTTGGTTTGAGATGTCACATAAGGATAGAGGCTAGACCTTGAAATCATTAACATATTTAAGATGAGTGTTTTGTACATGAAAGACCAAGTAGGAAGATCCTTGCTGAGATGTTCAATGGCGTGCAGTATGCTCTTGGTTCAAATAAGCTGTAGTGAAGAAGCTTAGGTTAGAACTTTAGTATTAAAACTATAGTCTCAGACTCCTTCACGGTAGTATTATTTTTACTGGGACTTGGATGCAACATGACTAAAACATCCCGTACCTGCAACGTTTTATAAATACAGTAGACAGGATGTAGATGCTGACACTCATACATGCACGTACACACAGACACTCTGGCTAATATTCTCCTGTACTGGAGGCTTAGGTTATGCAGGTGGTTCTTCTAACATTCACGATTCCACCCCCGTGGGCCTGTGATCCAGACCAGACACTATAACCAGTCAACACAGTCTTTAAACACTTCACTAGAAGCTCTGGGAGCCCCTCGTGCCAAAGAACCTGGAACAAAACCCAACACATTATGATACCATTCACACCTGCTGGTTTCACATCCAAAGAGAGAGAGACAAAGCACTCAGACGAGGCATGGCTATTTGTTGTATCTCACTCAACTCACAGACCCAAAAAACTAAATCACTGCTATAAAGAGAATAGAGAGAGAACGTAACAGCAGAATAGGAAAGAAAACTGTAGCGCCTGGTGGTGGCACCGAGATGTCAGGAGATGGAGATGTCTGCCTCCATGTCTGAGACCCCATGTCGCTCACAGCTTACTCCGCTCCAGAAACGTAGAGAGACGCATTTGTCAGACTTCAACCCAAATATTTATCTAAAGGCCTCGCTTGTGAAGCTTCATCTGTCTCCTACGCCTAGTCTTTTTAACAGGAGTGAGAAAGGAGGAGGAGGAGAAGGAGGATGGAG